AATTCAGTTTGAGTTATAAGTGACGTCACTTCGTATGGTCCAAAGCCCTGGTTCTTAGACAGGAGGTAAGGGGAGTAGTTGACGGAAAGGGGAGCAGGAAGACTGACATTACATTCTAAGTAAGATTGTAGTGAGACGTCAACAAAATTAGTTGGCTATCTTCCCCCGGATTTCTTACCGCCTCGAAATTGGGATTGAGGCCAAATAGGAAGGAATCATACCTAAGTTCCTTAGACAGGAAAAGAGAAAAGAGATAGGGAAGGCGGGGAAGACTGCGATTCAACATCTACAGTACGACATCTGGGGAGAAACCTCTGGCATGGAAGAAGCACCGGTGATCAGACAATGCTAGCAGTGGTATACAAGCAATGTTGTCGGATTGAAGAGGTGTGCGCAGTGGATAAACAAGCAATGCTGTCGGATTGAAGAGGTGTGTGCGTCTCTTCCTCCCTATGTTTTATTCCCCCCCCCTTTTTTTTTTTCCTCCTCTTTCCCTGCCTTACCCCACGGAACAAAGATTCCCCAGCCAGGTCCTGCTGATTTAACCAGAAGTGAACACGAATCAATTCATCATTTCACCAGTTAGGTAAAAGTACAAAGATCTAGTGGTGATACTGGCAAGAGAAGGACTCGATAAGCTGCCGTCAACTAACACCCCACTTCTTTTTTCCATCTCCTCTCGTTAACCATCCAAATCAACATACGCTGGTACCTCCTACATCCACCATCTCACATTCATCCCTCTCCAGGAACTTCGTTTTCATTTTTCCCCACGCCTCACCTACTCCCCCTCCCCCCTCTCCTACAACTCTTCGATCTCCACAACATATTCACTCGTATTACCTCCTGCGCATGCGTTGACCTGTTACAACCCTACCACTACCTAATACAGGCGTTGACCTGTCACAACCCTACCACCAGCTAATATGTCCAGCATCCCACATTCATCCCTCTCCCCCAACACAAAAGTCGATTCTCCTTTTCCCCCATGCCTCACCTACTCCCCCTCTCACCTCTCCTACAACCCTTCGCTCACCACATTGTCACCGTACGAAAAATGCTCAAAATGACGGCAAAGAGAGTGAAAGGCCAGGACTCTCTCTTGTTCTACCAGGGGGCTATGCGACAAAACTTGTTAAGACAGTTGGGGTCGATCCCATATGCCAGACCCACCTCGCCCTACCCGATGCAGCAAAGGACAACAACTATTAATAATCAAAGTGGCAATATTTGGAAATGTAGAAATGCCGCAAAATGGTTTTCCCAGGCATCGTCTCCGAACTCGTCACAGTGGTCCCTCACGCAAGGTACCCATCAATCCCAGTTTCCACCCCTCACTAGCCAGGGTAGCCAGCAACCAAAATCTCAGGGTGAGAAGAGAGATGCAGTCTCCTCGCTGCAAAGAGACCGCCCACATTCTCATTCTCTCCATCCGGATCATAATAATTCACAGTCTCACGCACCACAGATGACCGCCGAAGAACAGATCGCAGGAAAAACATCAGGGAAGGAAACAGTCACAAAGGATAGGATAATGCGAGATCGGGACCAGGAAGAGATCCTTACTGAGGAAGAAAGATGGCTGGAACAATTCAGGAAGGACAAAGGAGTTCACCAGGACAAAACAGAGAACTCTAATGAACTTTTTGGGGGGACATGGGCACAGAGGGTCAGGACGACACTTTAGGATAAGACACTCAACGTGAGTAGGCCAGCCTTAGATCCTGCAGGAGCTCCAGCAGAGGAACTAAGGATTCCCCTCAGAAATCTCTCCTCAGCAAGGGCCTATTTCCTAACCCTTTTTCTCCAACCTTCAGAACAGAAAGTAATAGAACAGGGAGGAAGGAAAACACTCACGAAATCCTACCCTGCAGAAAAATTACCTCAGAGAGATGCGATCTATATGAAACATACAAGCAATTGGATTTTCTACAATGAGGGAGCCAACAGATCCACAAATGACAAGATCAAATGGATCTGTAAAAGACTAGAGCAGATAAGGGAGAGTTCTGAAGCGGTTACATATTTTTTTTTTAACCAGCCTATTTCCCCTACAGTTTTCACAGTCCTTTGTCTGTTTGAGAATGATAAAAAAACGATTGATAACTGGAAAAACTGTTTTGGGGCACCTCACAAGTAAGAATTTATCTGTGGATGCCAAAGAAGATCAGTCCGGAGGAGAAAAGGGACCAGTTAATGAGGGACTTTTGTTGGGTCGAGTTGAGGCATATCCCAATAGAGGTTCAAGCAGCTTTTGTGCATGATTTGGACAACAGTTCAAAATAGTTGATTTCATTGATCCACTCCCAGCACATGTGGCAAAAAAGGATGATTACTATGTTACCGCGCGTTCATTGAACGCACGTTCCGCGTTCAGTTTTTGAACGTTGTGAACGCGCGCTCACTGAACGCCCCTGAACGCAGTTGACGCGTTTGCGCAGGGGTCTGTCAAGGCTGGGGGGTTGCCTCTGAGGCCACTGGAGCGTCGGCGGTGTTCAGGGGA